CTGGATACACTCTGATCACACCGCAGAGCTCTGTACTGTACTGAGCACGTTCCATGATAAGTCCATGCCAGAGTTCCTTATTGTACTAAGCACACTTGACACCATATTTGCTGAACACATGCTGCAGTCAGTCCATGCCACAGAGCTCCAAGCTGGACTGATAATGCTACACAAAGCACCAGTCTTGTATTATGCATTACTACACACTCATAGTTTGTACCATCCTCTGCCTCACCTCCCCGTAGCTTCAACATGATTTCACACTGCTTTACCAGTTTTCACTGTGTTTTCTTCTGCAAGGCATCCCACAGTCAATGGACACTTAACGTTTCTCAAGGCATCGAGAAGACATTCACACAGCAGCCCCAGCGAAGGAGAAGACAGACAGAGAGCACCGTTTGGAAAGGACTTTTATTAACAACCTGCAGCGGAGATCGCTCCCACTGCCAGATCATTTTCGCAGAAACCAAACCAAAGGCAAAAAAACAGGACAAGGGGCTTTTCTTTCATCTTTAAATAAATATTTTACTTTCATATCAACGGCTTAAATAAATATCTGTGACTCGTCGACAACATTGGCAAAGGAACAAAAATAAGTGTAAAATTCATATTTATATATTTATATATATTTATATACTTTTTATTTTTACAACATACAAGATGCCAATTGTACCAAAGCAATACTGACTAACACCTGGGGAATTGGTAGTGGTTAACCTACAGCCTGCACACTGCACCATGAACACATTCCTTTAAATGCATGTACTGATACTGTATAACGCACGTGTCCTCATCGGTGCGGCAGTATCCACTGACTAGGCCCTCCGATCACACAGGCCTGTTCAGGAATGCTGGCTGGAGGACAGGAGCTTTCTTGTTGCATTGTGGAGGGGAAGTGTTTTTGACCAGGGCAACAACAGGAGATCTGTGAAAGGCCCTGCACAAAAGGTGTACAATTAACTTTTTATTGAAAGGGCTGTACAGGCCAGCGACATCCACAGTAGTCACCGCAAGAGTTGTCTGAGCTCTGTGGCCTCTTGCCCTAGGGAGTCCTAGATCACATGTGACCAGTGTGGCAGCCTTACTAGGAAATGTTTTTTAAGTTTTTTTTTAAATTATTTTCCCCTATGTTGCTTTCAACAAAGGCCTTCATCCAAATGAGCAGTAGTAGCAACAGATGCAGTGAAGTGCCCTGGACCAGTTTCATCCATTTCAGACTGGGCTCCTGTTCCGGTTGTGCTGATGTAGCGGAGAAGCAAAGTGTTTTCTTTTAACTGAACACGTAAAGACAGCGCACGTTTACTCAACACAGTAACAAGCCTGAAACACCCAGCACCTGCTGTTGGCGGATGAGAGGGCAGCCCGCATCCCGCCAGACCTGAAATGGATAAAAGCAGCTCAGCATTTTCTAAAAATACGCGAAGGCGCCAAACTCCTCGGTCATCACTGGACGCCATCGGCTCAGCGCTCCTTCGGTGACTTCGTGTGACGCTCCAGTTCCAGAAGTCCTTTCACAGAGAGACGTCTCCCCCACAATACAAAACTATTTCAAAGCAAAGGGATGACCAGGCTTCTGACAGACTCAAGTTCATATCAATAAGAAGAAGAAGAATTATAATAATAACAACTATAATAATATTTACATACAAAAATATATCAAAGTAATTCTAACAAATAAGATTAATCTGCAGATATATATATATATGTACATATATAGTACACACTGCGTGTCACTTTTCAATCTCCAGCCCTACTGCGTGCTCCTGGCCAATCCTCTCTCCAGGGATCTGTGCAGACTAGCCTGGTTTCTCTCTAGCAGATCGGATTGGCCTGAGTCCCATCTCTCGTTTCAGGCTCGCTGCCGCGCCGCTAGGGGGGCCATTCACAACGGCGCGCCCCCCCCCCCCGAGGAGAACCGGGGCTACAGCACGGTCTCCCTGGCCCGGCAGTCTGCTGGAGGGAATATCCTGCCCGAGGAGAATGTCCTTTGCGATCCGTTCCCCGATTCGGCCCAGCTCTGCACGCCAGCTCCTGCCGATTGGAAAAGGGCACAGCCAGGAGCCGCCAATCTTTGGCACTGTTCTCGGGGCTGCGGTTTGCAGCAGAGACCCCGAAGCCCCGAAAGATCCACACCCCCCACCGCTGCATCGCCACGGTTTCCTGGGGGTGGCAGGAGCCCCGACTCGTGAAAGGGACCGGCGAGGACGCAGCAGCAGCAGCAGGAGCCCGGCATGTGGCTGGCAGGCACAGACCCGGGACGCCTGCTCTCCGAGAAAGCGCTTCTGAAAATCAGGGAAACCCCCACCAGGGGCGCAGGCCTGGGGGCTCCTGGACAGGGGGGTCACCGTCGAACCAGGGGACTGCGTCTCTCGTCAAGCTCTCCGGTAGTCCTGCTCCTAGCGTCCCATGGAAGGTGGCTGCGGACGGTCCCGGGATTCCTGATTGCTTTTGTCCCAGCTTCCGGATTCCATCAGGCAATCCATGGGAATTTTCCTTCTCCTCCCAGATTACTGCCCCCCCACGCCCCCCACGCCGAGCCAGCACGCCTTTCCAGCGCGTGAGCAGAAACGAACATCCCTGCCTGTTGCGGGGGCTTCGTGTGGGGGGGGGGCGTCTAATTAAAGTTTCCTCAACCTCCGGGGGTGGTGTAACGTGAAGCACTATAATTCTCCCGGTTGGAAAAAAAAAAACAGACAATAAATAATTTCATAAATATGTGAATAAATAAACCCTTGAGCCGAAACAAGCTTACAGACGTGGTAGCTGGGTGTTTCTGCAGATGCACGTGTATGGGGGGGTCCAGTTTGCGGAGGCTGGTTCTGTAAGCTTGCGGTCGGGGGGGGGCCCTCGCTAAGAGGCGGGGGGGCGGAGGCGTGGCGTTGCCGCGGCGCCGCCGCTCGTCATACGGGCTTGTCCGTGGCTTTGGGGAAGGGGGCGGGGTTGGAGGAGGAGGAGGAGGAGATCTTGCGGCACACGGTGTTGGTGTTGCCGCAGCGGCAGCCGGGCCTCTTGGCGTGGTCGTAGCCCCGCTGGCAGAGCGCGAGGCAGGCCCTGGCCGGCGGGTAGCAGCAGAGGCAGGGCAGGCAGAGGGACAGCAGGCCCATGGCCCCCCAGCGGGCGCAGGCGTGGGCCTGCTGGCAGGAGCAGGGCCGGTCCGCGCAGTTGTCCTCGTCGTCGGCCGAGCAGTGGTAGAAGAGGCCCTTGACGCAGCACAGGCAGGTGGCGTGCTCCACCACGCTCTCCGGCGAGCAGACGCAGCGCTGGCCGCACGCCCAGCAGGAGGGCAGCCCCCGGGGGGCGCCGCACTCCTCGCACTTACACCTCCCGCACAGCTCGCAGATGAAGAGGTGGCGGCCCGGCCCGGCGCCCTCCGCTGGCCCCTTCCCCGGGCCGTCCGGCTTGAGCTCCCCCTTGGGCTGGGCGCGCACCGCCAGGGGGCCGGAGTGGGAGGGCGTGAGGCCGGCGAGCAGCCGCTGGTCGGACGCTGCGCTGCCGCGGGACACGGAGCTCAGGGTGCTGGAGCGGCTC